CCCCACCACCAAGACCTACTTTCCTCACTTCGACCTGAGCCACGGCTCCGGCCAGATCAAGGCCCACGGCAAGAAGGTGGCGGACGCGCTGACCCGCGCTGTCGGCCACCTGGAGGACCTGCCTGGCACTCTGTCTGAGCTGAGCGACCTGCATGCTCACAGGTTGAGGGTGGACCCCGTCAACTTCAAGGTGAGGGGAGAGGTTGACCTGGGCCATCAGGGGCAGCGGGCCTTCCTGGCAGGGCCGAGATTTGCGGAGAGGAGGGTTTCCTAAGGGCCCCCTCATCGCCCCCTCTCTCCGCAGCTCCTGAGCCACTGCCTGCTGGTGACTCTGAGCAGCCACCTCCGTGAAGATTTCACCCCTTCCGTCCACGCTTCCCTGGACAAGTTCCTCAGCAGCGTTAGCACCGTGCTGACCTCCAAATATCGTTAAGCTGGAGCCCAGGAGAGGCGCCACCGGTCTTCCTCCCCTCCCTGCACGTGCCTCCGAGTCTTTGAATAAAGTCTGAGTGGGCGGCAACCTGGTGTGGCCTTGGCTCTGTGTGTCCGCTAATGTGCCAGGGGTGGCTGTGGGTCTCCTTGCTCGGCTACTGTCCCTCTGCAGCGGCCAGAAGGAGGGAAGGGAGAAGCAGAGGAATCCCTATCCTCCTTTTAAATCTCCGCAGGAGGGAGGCAGGGAAGGGGCGGCGAACCAGCAACAGCCAGGGTGCACCTAGCGCGCCTTGGTCACTGGCAGCTCTTTAGCAGAGTACTCTTTGTCGGCCCTGTAGTTCTGGCGCCCATAAGAACTCTCAGTGTGCCCAGCCCTGCACCCTGCCCTTCACCACCCCTCCGCCCCATTCTCTAGCCCAGCGACGGCTGGTTCTCAAGCGGTTGCGCCTCAGTTGCCACCAGCAATTTCCCGAAGTCCCCTCCCCCGCCCCCGCACTGCGCAGCTGCCTCATGGACACGCTTAGTCCTTGAGTCCAGCTCGGCTCCGCAGCTCCGGAGCCAGATAAAAACGCGGAGGGTGGAGGTCTCCTGCCCACCACCTTCCGTCTGGGTGACCTTGGGCTGCACTGTGGGCCTCTCCGGACACTGGGGAGTCGCCTCCCCGCTCCACCTCCAGTCTTCTCTGCAACCCAACCCATTTTTTATAAACATAGAAAAAGAAATAAAGTCTACCCACGTTTTCATCGGTTCCCTCTTGTTGCTATTCAAAGTAGGGAGAGAGGGAGCGCCTCCGCCCCTCCACTCCAGCAGAGGGAGCCAGTCAGTAGTTTCGGACTGAGCCTCCCCTCCCTACTGAGGGGATGCAGCTACAGCGGCAACTACGGCAACATGCACTTCTTTTTTTCCTTTTACAAAAATATCACACTGGAGACGCTGGCCTGCAGCCTGCTCCTCTGCAGCCTGTAAGGCCCCCCCTACACCCCTCCCACCAGTTCATTGGGCTGTCTCATTTCTCGTCGTATTGCGAATTTTAATGCTAATGCCCTATTAATATCCTTTGTCCATTGTTTACATGTCATATTCCTTTCCCTTATTTAATGTGAGAGCTCTTTCCACATTAAGAATGTAAGCCATTGGCTGAATTATGTTCCCCAAGTCTTGCCTTGGAAGGTCTCAGGCAGGCAGCAGGGGGTGACAGAACAAGATGCAGAAGAGGGCAGCGGTCCCAGGGCCTGGGGCGGGGCGGGGCTTGACTCTAAGTCCCCAGCATCTTATCTTTTTTGTCCTCCAGAGCCAGGATTGGGACTGGAACTGTGAGCAGAACCAGGATGGGGTGGGAAAAGCATGGAGGGTAGGAAGGGGAAGTGGGATGAGCTGGGGGATCCAGTGGGAAGAAGATGAGAAGAGCTCCGCGACTCAGGAGGACAGAGTAAAGGGGACGCAGCTGAGGCTTGTCCTTGAGCCCAAGTCCGTTTAATCTTCCTTCCCTCCTGGATCCTTAGGGGCAGGTCTGGAGTGAGGGTCCTGGGGGAGGTGTGGGGGCAGAGGGGTGGACTGAGTGGTAGAGGGTAGAGGCGTGGACTGGGGTGGGAACAGAGGGGCGGGCTGAGGGGTGGGGGGCAGAGGGG